CCACCCCCGTCCCCTACGCTCCGCCCCCCCACGTCCCTTACGCCCCCCCCCCCACGTCCCATACGCACCCGCCCCCACGTCCCCTACGCCCCTCCACCCCCGTCCCCTACGCTCCGCCCCCCACGTCCCCTACGCCCCGCCCTTCCAAAGATTCGCCGTTCATGCTCAAGGATTCGAGGACGGAGCTCCGAGGGATTGTCCAGGAAATGTCAGGATTTGGATCGTGCCTAAGGGTCTCGCTGGGCTCCTCGGCTAATGGTCTGGCTTGGGACGAGGCGCTGCGGGGTTGGGGGAGGGCGAGTGAAAGAGAAAGAGAGAAAGAGGGGAGAGGGAAGAGGGAGGGATGGGAGGGAAGGAGGGAAGGAGGGAGAGAGAGAGAGAGAGAAAGAAAGATGGAGAGGGGAGAGGGAGGGAGGAAGGGATGGAGGGAAGGAGGGAAGAAGGGAGGGAGAGGGGAGAGGGAGGGAGGGAAGGAGGGAGGGCGAATGAAAGAGAAAGAGAGAAAGAGGGAGAGGGGAGAGGGAGAAGGAAGGAGGGAGGGAGGGCGAATGGAAGAGAAAGAGAGAAAGAGGGAGAGGGGAGAGGGAGGGAGGGATGGAGGGAAGGAGGGAAGGAGGGAGAGAGAGAAAGAGAGAAAGAGGGAGAGGGCAGAGGGAAGGAGGGATGGAGGGAGGGAGGGAGGGCGAGTGAAAGAGAAAGAGAGAAAGAGGGAGAGGGGAGAGGGAGAAGGAGGGAGGGAGGGAGGGAGAATGAAAGAGAAAGAGAGAAAGAGGGAGAGGGGAGAGGGAGGGAGGGAGGGAGGGAAGGAGGGATGGAGGGAGAGAGAGAAAGAGAGAAAGAGGGAGAGGGGAGAGGGAGGGAGGGATGGAGGGAAGGAGGGAAGGAGGGAGAGAGAGAAAGAGAGTAAGAGGGAGAGGGGAGAGGGAAGGAGGGATGGAGGGAAGGAGGGAGGGTGAATGAAAGAGAAAGAGAGAAAGAGAGAGAGGGGAGAGGGAGGGAGGGAGGGAGGGTGATTGAAAGAGAAAGAGAGAAAGAGAGAGAGGGGAGAGGGGAGAGGGAGGGAGGGGTGGAGGGAAGGAGGGAGAGAGAGAAAGAGAGAAAGAGGGAGAGGGGAGAGGGAGAGGGGGAGAGGGAGGGAGGGAAGGAGGGAGAGAGAGAAAGAGAGAAAGAGGAGAGGGGAGAGGGAGGAGGGAAGGAGGGAAGGAGGGAAGGAGGGATGGAGGGAGAGAGAGAGAGAGAGAGAGAGAGAGAGAGAGAGAGAGAGAGAGAGAGAAAAATCGAAAAGAGTGAAAAAAAAAGAGACAGAAGAGGCGAGGAGCGAAAGAGGAACCCGAAGGTGAAGTGGTGCCCCCTACGCTCAGCCCTCGTTCCTTACGCCACGCCCCCTACGCTCAGCATACACCCCCTACACTCCGCCTCCCCATCCCCCACCCCCGTCCCCTACGCTCCGCCCCCCACGTCCCTTACGCCCCCCCCCCACGTCCCATACGCACCCGCCCCCACGTCCCCTACGCCCCTCCACCCCCCGTCCCCTACGCTCCGCCCCCCACGTCCCCTACGCCCCGCCCTTCCAAAGATTCGCCGTTCATGCTCAGGATTCGAGGACGGAGCTCCGAGGGATTTGTCCAGGAAATGTCAGGATTTGGATCGTGCCTAAGGGTCTCGCTGGCTCCTCGGCTAATGGTCTGGCTTGGGACGAGGCGCTGCGGGGTTTGGGGGAGGGCGAGTGAAAGAGAAAGAGAGAAAGAGGGGAGAGGGGAGAGGGAGGGTGGGAGGGAAGGAGGGAAGGAGGGAGAGAGAGAGAGAGAGAAAGAAAGATGGAGAGGGGAGAGGGAGGGAGGAAGGGATGGAGGGAAGGAGGGAAGAAGGGAGGAGAGGGAGAGGGAGGGAGGGAAGGAGGGAGGCGAATGAAAGAGAAAGAGAGAAAGAGGGAGAGGGGAGAGGGAGAAGGAAGGAGGGAGGGAGGGCGAATGGAAGAGAAAGAGAGAAAGAGGGAGAGGGGAGAGGGAGGGATGGATGGAGGGAAGGAGGGAAGGAGGGAGAGAGAGAAAGAGAGAAAGAGGGAGAGGGCAGAGGGAAGGAGGGATGGAGGGAGGGAGGGAGGGCGAGTGAAAGAGAAAGAGAGAAAGAGGGAGAGGGGAGAGGGAGAAGGAGGGAGGGAGGGAGGGAGAATGAAAGAGAAAGAGAGAAAGAGGGAGAGGGGAGAGGGAGGGAGGAGGGAGGGAAGGAGGGAAGGAGGGAGAGAGAGAAAGAGAGAAAGAGGGGAGAGGGAGAAGGAGGGAGGGAGGGATGGAGGAAGGAGGGAAGGAGGGATGGAGGGAGAGAGAGAGAGGAGAGAGAGAGAGGAGAGAGAGAGAGGGAGGGAGGGAAGGAGGGAGGGCGAATGAAAGAGAAAGAGAGAAGAGAGAGAGGGGAGAGGGAGGGAGGGAGGGAGGGTGATTGAAAGAGAAAGAGAGAAAGAGAGAAGAGGGAGAGGGGAGAGGGAGGGAGGGGTGGAGGGAAGGAGGGAGAGAGAGAAAGAGAGAAAGAGGGGAGAGGGGAGAGGGGAGAGGGGTGAGAGGGAGGGAGGAAGGAGGGATGGAGGGAAGGAGGGAAGGAGGGAGAGGGGAGAGGGAGGAGAGGGAGGGAAGGAGGGAAGGAGAGAAGGAGGGAGAGAG